TCAACCAACAGACTAGAATTGCCACTCCTGCAGCCATGCTGCTAGCGTGGCTAAAACTAATAAAATATTTTTAGTTTTTGGTTTGATTTATAGTTTAATAAAAAATGTTTGAAATCATAAAAACAGTATTATTTCTGCGTCCTCATAGCTACGAGGTCCTACGTGACATACATTTTTTCATCTGCTCATGTCCGCGCGAACAGTCTGCGTGTAGCCCAACAACATGTTCGAACATGTCTGCCTATGCTCACACCCAGTGTAAAATTCACAGGACCTTCCCTTTATACATTTTATTTTTGATATTAGAAGGTGCATGGCATACAATCTGCCATTAGCTTTGGTGGAATTTTGCTTTTATTTTCTACAGAAATAGAAGTGACAGTAAATGAGGGTAGCATCATGCAATAAGGGTCCTGGTTGGACTTGAATTACACTACCACTAAGCCACTAGGACCGTCATATATACCAGTATATAACAGAAATAATGATGATGCTGGATTATGGGGAGCTGTTAGGATACCAATTTCCAATGGTACTGAAACTGTCTATCCTGCTCTTGTGGGCCTTATCTACCTGACAGCAGACAAACATTTCTGGTTTCAGGTTCACCATAAGTGGCATATGTTATGTCTATATACTCAAAACCCTGCTGTGTCCTGTTGGACCAGAGCTTGCTAGGGGGAGACTAAGAGACAGATAAGCTTGAAACCCATGGTCTGGGTTTTATATTGTATTGTGGTCTTTGCAGGGCAGAGAGCCCTCTTGCTTCCTTACAGCCCTGTAGCGGTTTGTGACGTCAAGCAGAGCGTGTTCTGCTCTACCAAGGACATCTGTCTGTAAGCGTCTGGGGGGCCGTGAGCAGCCCCTCAGGCCAGGAGGAGGGAGGGAGGATGGAAAGAAAAGCCTTTGTTAAAAACAGCAGAGATGGAGAAGGTTGGCCATCATGGCTCCTGCAGCCCATCCTCCACTTCACTCCAAGCATATCAGACCGCTCTAAGGTTCTTGCCGTGTTTTGGACATTTTTGCATCATAAGGGAACATGCTGCACTTTCTTCTATGTTGAGAAAAAAGCCCTTTTTTCTTAGTCAGGTCTTGATGGACATTAAGGGTAAAGAGCTTGAAGTTAGACAAGATGTTTGAAAAAGGTAACAAACAAAGAATAGTAAGACAAACAAATGGATCTGATTATTATCAGCTGCACACATTCTTACAAGCATGTTTTCTTATTTTCTCAGTTAAATATGTTTGTAATAATGTAAATAACAATAAAACAATCACATTTGTTCTTATTTATGAAAATACAGGCAGTCTATTGTGTGGTGGGCTATTATAAAATTAAAGCATCTGATTTTATCCAAACTACCTACACCAATATTAATACATAAATATTTTTTTAAGTGGTGAAACCCCCCATATTAAGAAATGGATTATACCTTATTTGAATGCAGTGAACACCATCAGTCCGGTATCAGTTCAGTCAACAAGGCAGTGACATGCATTAGGAATAAAAACATTAGTAATGTATAACATTATTTATCTTTCATTTTACTTAGTCCCACCTTTTCAGTTGTAAGCACCAGCTGTACTGATTCAGCAGCTGTGTGTTAAACTTGTGAACTGTGAAGATAGTTCACTCGTCTATGCTGCTGACAAATATTAACTTTTACTGCCCTCAAACTACAGCTCTTAGTCTTATTTAAATATGATTTTGGAAGAATCTTCCAGGACATATACCCATGACACGAATAATCTGATGAATACATATACTTTGATATCCAGAGCCTGGATTTTTCAAGCTATCAAGCATATTTAATTTAGATTTAAAGCTAGAAAAAAGATTTTTGGGGGGGATGGGTTGTCTGTAATTTAGTGTTGTATATCATAAAACATGGGACGATGTCATTTATTCTCAAAGGAGAGCTTTAACGTCTTGCAGAGAGTGTCTGTAGAAGCTTAATTCAACAGTGTGTCTTTATCTTTAATCAAACTTTCGGTGCAGATTAGGAGTAAGTCTGGGAGCCTCAACGAACACAGGCCTGAATATCAGATTCAGAGCTTGAGCGTTTGCACTTGCACATTGTGCCATCATAGTGTGAACTGATCCGCTTTTTCAGTAGCAGGGCACTCAACATCTGTAAGAGAGCTTTGTGCAACTGCGACAAGTGTTTCCCCAGAAATGTATATGTTACATACACTTATCATTTCCCTACATTGACCCCAACATCATCACTTCTTTCTACCAAAGCTGTAGATTGATTCTGTCAGGTATCTCGAAAATGTTCTACATCTCCTGACCTTTGCTAATAATTTGACTTTACAAGTTCCAGTTCCCTGCTGTAAAAGGGCATACAGGCACACTGGAAGCACTGGTATTTACGTGACTTTAGAACAGTAGATATTTATGCGGTACCATTGATCGGACCTGGCAAATGTATGCATCCTGCCAGCTAGTTTTTCTTCCTGTGTGGGATGAATCTTTGTGGTGACCTTTGCAGTTTGTACCTGTGGCTCAACATTGCCAGGAGGGTAGTCCAGAAGGTAGAAAGAGATCTTTGTACTTGTAGGTCATAGTTATATCCTTATCAAAAAGACGCCCTGGTCACTGACACTAATTTACTTTACCAACAGTATCCCATAACAGACAGGCAGCATTACTAAAGGCGATGAGTGGTGGTACCTAAAAACTCACTAACAGAGATTGATGGCATTCTTAACAGGAGAGTTTCTTAACACCAAAAAATCATATACATAGTGAATAGTGACTGAAGAATGGTACCAATACCCTCGAGACCTAATCTCAACAAACCCTGTACAGTTCAGGACAGACAATCCAAGCACTGAAACTGTTTTGAAGGCAACATGTACCCACATCTACTGCCACTACTTCATAGCGTTTGTACACCTGTGTGTGTCAATGGACATACTCTATGTAAATGTATGAGTTAAATGGTAGTTGAAACAACTCCTAAGGGCAAACAAATCTATCAACGCCTGGCCCAACTCTGGCTTGTATCAGTTGGCAGTCATTAAAGGAAGGTAGACCCGGCATACTGGCACCAGATTGAAATCAGAAATCAGTCTCCCTGTGTCATGGCGGCCTCTTTACTGACGGGAAACGCGGACTGGAGGGTTGCAGATGGTAAAATGAAGTCTTCATTTGTCATACAGTCATAAATCTGAAAATGCAGGCAGTTGCTGTGGGCACTGGGAGCCCATGCCTGGTGCCAACTGCCAGGCGGAGATGCCGGCATCCTGGTGCCATCAATGAGATAGCGGACCTCTCTCTCTCTCTCTGTTCTGCATCGGTCTCTCTTGGCTCACTCTGCAGAGGGATTCTTTAAGGTCAGGCCTGGGGAGATTTGTGTGTTGTTTGTGGCAAAGCCTAATAAGGTTAGCATTGATAACATTAATGCTACATTTGCTATGTGAACAGGGGCAGTAATCATCTCCACGCATCACCACATCCAGCCACGATCCCCAGTTTCTGACTCCATTATTCCTTCTGTCTCCATTTACATAGCATTAAGAGCCTGATTACCAACTCCACATTGCCTGCAATGACCCTTGCTACTAATTATTATCTGCTAACTACAATATAAACATTTTCACCACCATCCCTTTTAAAAATGGACAAATATATGTGGTTTAGATATTCAGCTGTTTGGCACTACTGCTGTTATTTCCCCTACTTTGTGTTGTCAGCGTGTTTGAATCTTTCAACAGTTCCACCGTGCTAAATGTGAAGTGGCAACACCCTAAAGGGCATGCCTTGCCAGCAGGGTTTTAGGAAAAAATCAGAGGCAACTGCATGCACATTTTAGATCAGACTTTGTACACCAAAGCAACCTTTTACAGAGCACCATCTGAAAGTAACATGAAATTTTCCCCTGATCAGACAACATACATGCCTCACACAAACACCAGCGCCCAGCGAACGCATGCTGAGAGATAACATAAAAGAACATGAAAGACATGAAAGCGCACATTGATTGTCCCTGTTCGCTTCAACCCAGACCTCTCTCTCCCAGCGGGCAGGCACGCAGGCAAGCTGGTGGGTAGACATTCCCTGTGCTGTGGCCAAGATTGATAGGCACGTGTGTGTGTGTGTCTGCACTGTGTTTGCATGTGGGAGGGAGTGCTGACACTCTCTGTGCCATGCCCCTAGGGCCTCACACATCCACCCAATAGAAAGGGCAGCTCCCAGCAACGCTGGGTTCCCCCTCAGCCCTGAGGCTAGACATGACATTACCTTGGGCAGTGCCTCCCCACAACCTCCTCTTTATACATCACAAACTGCAAAAATCACAATGGACCATGTGACTACACACACACACACACACACACACACACACACACACACACACACACACACTCGATCTTTGACAAAAGCTCTGTTAATGGCTGACAACCGGCTTCCATTTTGTTTAGCTCAGGAGAGATTATACTATATACGGATGGACAGATATATGCCCTTATATAGTAATTCCTACAACTAATCATACTCTTGGTCTTATTGATCTTTCTCACCAGGTCTTACAGTGCTCTAAAGTTTGACAGTTTTGGTTGCAAATGCTCCTAAAATTGGAAATTGTAATTTTGGGCTCAGGTATGTGGCTACAAGTAATTGTCATGGTGCACCTTTATGTGGTTAACATGTAACGAGCAAAGAAAGTAGTGCTTTGGATGTTGGGATCCATAGACTGGCTTATGACCTATACGTTAGCCAGCCACCAGTCAATGGTTGGGACCATCAGTGTTATCAAGTGAAAAAGCTAAGATAGGGCAGTTCTGTATTACAGTTTTTTTTTTTGCTGCAGTGTTTGTTATGTAGAATGGGGCGCTATTATTTTCAAAGCCACCACATAGAGGACAAATAGCTTCTTACTCAAGAGTTGTAAATATTGGTTAAAACTTTTTTTGTTTTTGAGACATTAAATGTACTTGAATTTGTCAGGTTGCCATTGGACTCTAACCCTAAATCTTTGTGTTGTCTTCACCAGATGCAGCAACAGGAACTGGCCCAGATGAGGCAGCGAGACGCCAACCTCACAGCACTAGCCGCAATTGGACCCCGTAAAAAACGTAAAGTGGATTCACCAGGGGCCACCCCATCAGGGACAGAGGTAAGAACTAGACTCGCTTAATGTCTTAAATTATCAAATGTTTTGTCCATATTCAGTTGCTGGTGTTCGAGTCAAAATCTATCCTCATTAACACAATTTTCACTATTAACTTTTGTAGAAATCTTTCTGACATAAAGGCGCAATTTACTTCTGCTATACTGTATTTGTCTGACAAACATAATACTATGTAGGGACCATTTGTGTGTGATAACATCACCTAACTAATGATCCCTTTTTCTGACTTAGAACTCAGCTCTCTTACCACCTTACTGATGATACTATAACAAACAATTAACATAATGACAACCTACCAACTAAAAAACACTCCAATCCAAGATAATATTTTTCCCCATTTTTCTATTACAGTGTATTTTTTGTTTAGACAGCTTTCAGTGGTAATTTTCATGTTCCTGTCATCCCTGACGGTGGTAAGTTCAAACATGGAGGGTTGCTAGATATTCAAAACATGAGTCACTGAATATGTATCTGTAAGACAGTGAATAAAAAATAGACATCCATAACTGCAGGTAAAGCAGTGGTTTCCTATTTCAGTTGCTGGTCAGAGAGATGTTATTCTCTTATTGTTTTAGTGCAGGATATTCTCCTGAATCCAGTTACCGTGCTGTGGTTCTGAGACGGTCACTTTCTACAGAATGCTCCAAACATTTGTCTGAAGATAAATATCTGTGGTACTCAGAAACTCTGCACTTGTGAGACTTTTATGACATTATTAAAAAAAAGTATAGTGACTGACATTGCTCCTAGAACAATTATCCATCCATCCATCCATCCATTGTCAACCGCTTATCCTGCGTACAGGGTCGCAGGGGGGCTGGAGCCAATCCCAGCTTACATCGGGTGAAAGGCAGGGTACACTCTGGACAGGTCGCCAGTCCATCGCCTAGAACAATTAATCAATCATATACAGTAGGTTGTGGTATTGAAGATATTGTACAAAATCAGCTTTTTGCTTAGTTGTCCCTCACTGTTCATGATAATTTAGTACACTTTATGTTTGGAACTCTTGTTTATTTACTCTAGTTTTCTGCCTGTTTTATCGGTCTCCCTAATATGTAAATGCTATTTGACCACACAAAGCACTTTTACACTACATCTGCATTCACCATTCACTCACATTCATTGGCGGAACAGCCGCTAGGGGCAAATCGGGGTTCAGTATCTTACCCATGGATATTTCAACATGCAGCCTGGAGGAGCCGGGGATTGAACCGCTGACCTTGCGATTAACAGGCATCCCGCTCTAACTCCTGAGCCACAGCTAAATTTACATCTCCCTAATAGTTTCTATCATAGCTATTGAATTCTTATATATCAGTGTTCAACAGCACATTTTCCAATTCAGAAACAAGTTCAGTTCCTCAGCACATTTTAACACCCAGTGGCCAATGTTACACTGCTCCTTTCTTAACAACATAGATTGTTTACATTATATTATCTGTACAGGCATTGCCACTGTATAGCCACTGTATGCTGTTGTCTGGGCCTCCAAACCATTTGGTTTTCTGTCACGGCTGATAGATGAACTTGTGGCCTCTTTTGGTGGAAGATGTGATCACATCACAGCCCACTCTTGGGATTTCCTTTCGACCAGTAAGCTTCTATTTCAAGTTCATTTAAATTCACACATCAATTTTCTTTGGTCAACCTAAAAGTAGTTATGTAATACATTTGAAATGAAGTCAACATGTCAGAATGCATAAGAAGACATAACAATGGAGATTGGAAATAAAAATAAAACTCCCTGAGGGAGTATGACCGTAACCTCTCTAAGAGCTTTCTCTTTGGCTGGCTCTTCGGTTGTCACGTAGGAAACACTGACAGTTCGACGTATTATAGGCTATAATGTTTACTAAGATGAACGAAATGTAAGACAATTATTAGACTGTAACTACACAACTTTTTTGTGTACTCTAACAGCAATGGTAAATGGATAAATAACTGGTTTCTGATTGATTGATTAAGTCTCTTGCCTTTATTGTATTTCATGTATGTGTGCATTTTTAGCTTTAGCCAAGTGGCCATAGATCACCATATGAGTGACAATTCAGGTCCAGTTTGGCATCCTTATTCCCACAGACTCAAGCAGATTATGTGTATCCACAACTGAGGTTGTGTGGTGAGGGAGCTGTGAAGTGCACTGGTGGGCTGGCGACACAGTGTGCAGCCCTCTGAACCATTGTTCATCATTATTCACCTACAAAGTGGATGAAGAGGAGCACATCGGAAATCTCAGATTAGTTTCATGAGCCAGTACCTTTCTGGAGGCACCATGGAGTGGATTTGTTTTGCGGACAGCGTTCTTTGTGGGTTTCCATTCCTCCGCAGCGTTTTGGGAGCCATTGTGTTCTTAATACCGCACATCCTCTTCATGCTTAACCTGTTAAGCATGAGCCAAGTTTGGGAATCTGTCTAAAAACCCACTCTCCACAATTTAAGTTGGTGAACGTGACAAAGATGGTAGGAAATATCTGTGTATGTTCCAGGGAGCACGGTGACGTACACCCATGTGACTTGCCTAGTCTGTTCTTAATTAAGCTGAACTGTCTCCTCTTATGTTCCATAAGCAACGACTTGAGTATCATATTTCTCCAGCGCAGGGTCATACATGAAGTCATGCACAGTTGCTGTACCAAGTCACATTTTCCTTTAGGCAGCAGGGGAAACATTTAAATTCCACATATTCATCTGTAAATATGATGAATCTAAAATAAGCCTGAATTTTGAATGTCAATTGGTCATTTTAATAACCTGCTTATCGAGTTGCATCTTCACATCCTTCGCTTAGCAGCAATACGCTGCGGAGGAGCATAGTAATGCACCCGGTAAAAAAGCATAAATAACAAAATAAAAGCATTACTTCTGGTCCTTGAGTGCAGTGCCAACCTCTTTCAGAATGTTTTACTCTGATGGGTATTAGCCCGCGACCTTCTGCTGCATTAAAAAAAAACTGCTTTCTCAAACTGCTTTCCCAAATGCAGTTATACAACATAAACATGAATATACATTATGCTGGAGTTGTTGTCTTTTTGTCTATTTTATCCCTTTTTTAATGTCCTGTTCATGTTTAATTAGAGGGGCATAATGAAGTGAAGTCACAGAGTGCCCCTCCTCTGGAGTGATTTCAGCGAGGGCGGAGGAGGAATCTTAACTTATTTTCACTTCGTTTTCACCTCCTCACATTTCTTCATTTCACATGGGCTGGAAGCGCCTGCAGCGTTCTCTTTCCCTTCTCCAGAGCAAAGTGAATGTGACTTTTCTAAGGGGGTCACAGGATGCCTGGAGGCCTGTGGGTGTTACTGGACTGTTGCCTGCTCTTAGCTTCACTGAGGGGCTTGTCATAGATTTCATCTCCACAGAAATGAGCCGGGGGGCCCTGGCCAGGAGCACAAGCAGCCAACGTTATGAAGGGCCCATGCTGATTATTTCCCTCTGACATTGCATCCTGAGCTTTCCGCATTAATCCCAGACAAAGGCAGCCCTTCAGTGCTGTGCCAGAGCTCAAATTAGGAGCCAGATAATGGCCTTGTTGAGATCCTGTTCTGTTCACCGAGAGGCAGAACTCCTGTTGAAATCCTCTTCTTCAATTTTCCTTCCCTCCTGCTTGTTCTTTTCCTCATCAGACCACTTTTCCACCATGTTCGGACTGTGACGGAATTCAGGTGACACAATTTTGCTCTACCTCCCCCCACTCACCCACCTTTAATTTGATGGTGGCTTGGCCGAGCTTGGGCCTGTGCCTGGATGTAGATTGCCACAGGCTGTGAAAGTGATAGCCAGTCAAGACTGTGTCTGTCTCCAGCCTGATCTAGTCTGCAGGAGGGAACAAAGGGGGCCTTACAGGGCTCCGCAGGGTGGATTAGTTCCAAGGAGCCAATGGCTGGGGCTGCTGGCTGGCTCATTGGAAGAGGGTCTGCTCTGGCCTCAGTGGTGGGTCACTGCACAGGCAGGGGCCGCACAGGCAGGGGCCGCACAGGCACACACACCGCAAACCCCCTCCAGCTCAGTAGTCACCCACCCTCTACAGCCCTGACCCTCCAATCAGCGCACACAGCTTTTTGAAGTTCAGCACATAAGTCAAGGGTGTGCTACCTTGAAGAAAGTGGAGGGATGAATTGCTGTGACAAAGGGCAGCTGAAGGAGGATACCCTCAAAACATTACCTTGAAGATGTGGACACTAATACTATAATGCCTGATTAAAAAGCGTTGAGCTATTGAAAAAGGATATCTTAATTCCCAGAGTATGTTTTCTCTTTAGGCACCAAAAACACATGCCCTTCTAACAAATGTACACAAAATTAAACGTTCATTACTGCTAGAAGCTGATTTTTCTTTAATTCTTTGTATTTAATATATTTTGCAGCTCAGCTACTGGCATATATACAGTGCTGCTGCAACTGAGCATTATGTGAGGTGGTAACAGCTTATACATAGGTAGACTGTATGCCATGTTCAATTCTTTGCTTCCCTATAGTCACATCAGTATTTGTATATTGTGCAGAGAAGAAATAAAAATGGATTTTAGGTCTCTGAATTGGGAAAAGAGGACAGTCTGTCGAATAGAGCTTTATTCACAATGATTATTCCATCACACCCTCTATATTCTGTCCTTTCACACATTTAACATTATTTGAACACTTTACTGTTTCATTTCCGCTCATTGATTTTTGTGTGTTATGATCTCCTCTCCCTATTTGGTGCATCTCGACCAAGTGCGTGGCTTCTGTGTTGCTCGCTTTGGAAAGAGCAACACAGAAGGAAGATAGACAGAGACTCCTCTGTACATCTATGGTTAGCATTAAAGGATCTCCAATGTAAAATGTGTCTCGGCGCACAATGTCTTGCAGTGTTAAACATGCTCAGAGCTTTAAAACATCCTTGACACATTTACGAGCTCATAGTTATCATCCCACCACTGAGGCCATTTATCACATCAAAGGAAGAGCTTTTGTTTGTTGACGTAAAAGCGACAATAGCAGCT